ATATTATAATCTGCTTTACTGAAGGAGGATCAGTGTGAGGTGCAGATTCAGAGGTTAGATTTTAAGTTCCAGCCTGACCCACCTCTCTTTGCCAGGTCTTTGGCTGTTTCTTTGCCGATGCCAGTGTTGGCTCCTGTGATCAGCACAGTTTTGCCATTGAGCTGTTCAGCAGATGACCAGGCACGCCGGAAGAAACTTGTAGGAAATTAAGAAATCTCTGTGAATGTCTCAACCAGCAACATGGATATGACATTGAAACATACTTAGAACAACAAATATGAGAGATTACATTCACCTGCAGCAAAACAAACAAACAACAACAACCCCAAAACATTTATTAACATCATTTTTTTGCGATTAACTTAGTAATTTAGGTCATTATCTGAGAAAATCAGGATTTAAAAATGTCACCTGAGTAGAAATACAGTAAAACTATAGAATTTAAGACGTTTGAAGAATGTTTTTGATGTATATCTTCCTCACCTTAGCATTTTTCTTTATGACAGCACTGTAGTAACTCCTCAAAACCTGAAAAAAGTGTAAAGTCGGATTTAACACCACATTAAACTCCCAAACGTGTCTAACGAAGAGTCTGAGGATTAAAAGGTGAGCGAGCCACTTTTTGACAGTTCAAGAAGTTCAATTTGACATGCTGACACTTTAGCCAATCGGCTGCGACTCTGTTAGTTGTAGGAAGCGTTGATTGGTTAAAGGTAAGGTAGAGCCCGCCCTTTGTGGTTAATGAATGTGAATGTGAATGCGGGCTGCACCGGAGAGGTGGGAAGCCCGGAGTTAGGAAAGATATTAAAGTAAAAGTGAACATTTTTACCAATTATTTAAAAATGGTGTCTAATTCTTGGATAAAGCAGCAGCCCCGTCCTGATGTCCAAGGTTCAGTCAATAAATAATGTGACCAGTGACGGTTTCACTTGCATAAACCGCGTGTCTTCATTTAGACAAGGCAGGTTTATTTCCATAGTATAGCACAATTCGTACTCGAGGTAATTCAAAGTGCTTCACACAAAAGTATAAGAAAACAGATAAAATCAGTCCACAGAACATAAAGACAAGTATTAATTTATTGCATTAAAAGCAAAGAGGCAGATAAACTCAACCCAAAAAATATATAAATAGAATCACTAATCATTAATTTACCAGCCAGACCCCCACGCATGATGCCAACAAGGATGACACATCAAATAACGATCGTAGTGGTAGATAGCAACAGCTTTATTCTTTCACTACAAACTGATGCAAGGATCAGTATAAGATGTAGGTTCAAGGTCAAGGCCTTAAATGAAACTCTGACCTACTCACATACAACACTTTGACACACAAGTTTTACAGCATTGTTAGGACACTAGTGCAACAGTCTTTTTCAATACTCCCATAGCTAATAGTACAGTATGATAAAAGTATCTGAAATTCTTATTAAATTATTGGATAAAACAAAATAAACAAAAACAAAAAAAAGAAAGAAATTAAAAAAAAAAAAAAAAGATAAAATGGCTGGGCAAATGTAGTAGATATAGTATCCAGTTTATAATGAATACTTAAATGGCACTAAATCCTAAATATAAATTTGAAAACAAACCCAGAGAAGTTGTAGAAAAAACTAAAAAGTATACAAAAGAGTCACTGCTTTTCACAGGACTTCGTTAGCATCTGACACGTCACAGTGCATTTTTTCAAATTTTGTAAATGTTTTATTCACACTATGTTTTACACTATTGTGCATTTTGTATCTCAGTATATTTCTCTCTTATACTTCTATTATATTTTATATTTTTTTGTTATGGTGGTGGTCACTTTACTCTTTCTGCTTGCTACTGTAACAACAGAATTTCCCCATAGGGATCAATAAAATATTTCTGTTCTATTTTATTCTATTATATTTTAGTGTGTAACAGTATGACAACCCCAACAACATAACTGTCAGAAAATACAGGCACAGAAAATCCTTTAGACACAGACAGGAACGTGTCACTGAATTATCCTACCAATATCATTGAAGTAACCTTTGCACAGCTTTTATCAAAATGAATAGAAAGTTATTTAAGCTTACAGTAACTTGCATACATCAAGATCATAAACTTTACACAAAATATACACTTATATTGATAAAATACTGTTATTATGTAAAACATACACACACAACAATTGTTGGAAAAATATAAAACTGAATGCAAGTGTATGAGGTCATCTGCACCTTATTTCCAGGCAGGCAGTAGTGGTGAAATCAGCTCTATTGCAGCATTTAGCAGAGAAACACGCTAAAGTTTTTCTTGGCCTTCCAGGTTGGTTTATTCCCATGTTATGGAGAGCATACGGCAGCTCAGCTCCCACAGCTTCTGCGCCATGTTGTCGTCTTGTCCAGCAGAAGAGGGGCTGGTAGGAGCACAGTCACTGCAAGCAAGGACACATTAGATAAATAACTTAAAGTGTAGATCGTCTCTTTCATGCACTCAGTGTGATCCTGCACGACTCAGTCTGTGAGACTTCAAACTATAGTCCATCAGTGATCAGTTATTTGCTACATTAACAGCAGCTATTGTTTCTAAATTGGCACAGCCATGTAATGGTTAATTCAGAACTTTATGCCTCTCTAACCAGTTTGGTTGCTGTATTGTATTAGTAGGTCAATGGTTTCCAAAACGAGCTCCACATCCCTCCAAGCCTTTGGTAATGCAAGATGATTAACAGGATTAATGTTAACTCATTTTAGACTCCTAAACATTTAAATAAAGCAATTTGAGGAGGAAAAAAATGACCCTGATAAGTTGCTGCAAAACACAGTGTTTTATTCTCAGCAGTCTCAAACTAAAAATGAAGGGAACCACCATATTGAAGTTGGGATAGGCAGTACTTTTTTGGCTTTCCTAGGGCTAAAATTTAATAAAAACTTTCTAGCACATTGTAATTCCAGTGACCTGTGAGGAAAATAGTCTTAATGCTCTGGTTATAGGCTTTAGAAAATCCAGTCCACGACGCTGGCTAAACACAGGTCATTGAGATAGTTTGTAATTCTTATTGGTTGTTCTACAAATGCAGATGTATTTCTAAATGGTGGAAAACATGGTTCTGCAGGAAGAGATGTGTCTGAGTTGCAAGACTCATCAAAGAAGACTCTGAACAAGAGTCTGACAACACAACAAAACATGCTTCAAAGTTGGCAAAGTGTTTTAAGAGACGGAGAGAACTTTGCGATTGCATCGACCTTAAGTTGGATTTCAAACTTGTTTTTTTTCTCCTGGACGGATAAGCTGCTGTCATCTTTAAGTCCCACAAGTTTGCAAAGAAAAACAGGACATTAATTCTCATAGAGTTGCTGCTATATGACGGCATCAGGATCACAGAAATCCATAACTAGTGGGCCTACTTGTAGAGGCTACTGCATTAGGTAGCATTCTAAAGTTGAGGTTAAGTCAGGTCATGAAGCATGTGAATATATTCATGTTTATCTGGTTGGAAGGGAGGAAAGAGCTGCAGGAGCAGGGCTGCATTTTCAAATCTAGTGCTTTTGTTTTCCATTGTTTTTCTGATTTCTGCCTACGCTAGCTTTAAGCAAAGATGCTGTTAAATGTAAATGTATATTGTATTAAAATTAAATGTCTGTGCACTGTACTAGAAGTGTACCTGTAGTATTGACCGGTTTCATTCGCCAGTGACGGTTCCACAGCGCAGTAGATCGTCGTCTGAGCTCCCTGGACAGGGTTTTTGAGGAAAGGCGAGGATACCTTCATGAGCACCTGCATAGGGCCGTTCAGGTGACGCCCCAAATCGGTCTTAACAACGCCAGGATGGAGAGAGTACGTTGTCACACCTGTGCCTAAGAAAATAAATAAAAAAATGGAGCTTTTGAGGAATAAAACAATGGAACAAGGAATAAACAGCGCTGCACCGTGTTGGCCAATTTTCTGCTCAAATCAAATGAAACGAATGCCGTCAGACGCTCCAAAAATGGATAAAATAACAGCGATAAGGGGGAATAACACACCCTCTAGTCGTTTAGCCAACGAGCGGGTGAAGAGGACGTTGGCCAGCTTGCTCTGGGAGTAAGCTCTCGTCTTGTCGTAGCTCTTCTCGCTGTTGATGTCGTCCAGATTGATGGAGCCCCAAGCGTGAGCCATAGACGACACGGTGACGATCCTGGCTGGTGCGGATCGTTTAATCAGGTCAAGCAACAAGTATGTCAACAGGAAGTGACCTGGAAAAGAAGGAAATGTGGCTTTTAAATTTAAATCTGAGTTTCAAAAACAGAAGGAGGACACTGTGTCTCACAGGAATCAAGGGAGAATTATTGTAACCCAATTTCTAATGTGTTAAACTGAAAACAGAGACCAAATTAAAGGATTTTTCTACATCATCCAACAGTTTACCTAAGGATTTTTTTAAAACACATTCAATTTGTAAATTTTTTAAATACAATTTGAGCATTTAAATGAAAATGTTCTATTACCATCTGGCTGTGATTAAACCAGAAATTTTCATCTACATAGAAACCGATTAGAATATTGTACTCTGAGCAGTGACACGTCCCTGCCACGCTTCTGCAGCAGCAAAATATCAATGAACATGAGAAATTTGGGGGCAAAAGATGTCAGTGTCAAAGCCAGTCAAAGGTTCTGGCAACATTCACGTCACTAATCTGGCAGCAGTTAGTGTCTTTTATGACATATTTATAGTCTCAGGTGAGTAAACATGGATTTGTACCTGCTTTATAGCACAAAGTGTTCCTATTAGCATCCAAGAGAGAATCAGTTTCTTGTTTACCAGATGTCAACTCGTGACAAACAACAAGTGACAGGATTGCTCTGAGTGCCAGAAGTGAAGCTGTGACTCCTTGAATTCCATCTTTGTTGGTTTTATTGTTTACCCATGTGATTGACGCCGATCTGCATCTCAAAGCCGTCGGCAGTTTTCCCATAAGGACAAACCATCACGCCGGCGTTGTTGATGAGGATGTTGAGTTTTGGCTCATCTGTAGAAAAGAAAAAAAAAAGCACTGAGAGGTTAAACTTTGTGCCTTTAAAGTACCTTCACGTGCAGCGTTTTCTAAAGAAGAAATGATTTCACCTCTGTTGATGGCTTCAGCAAATTCTCTTATGGACTTGGTGTCAGACAAGTCAAGCTTCATGCACTTGAGATCGTCGCTGCCTGAGTATTCCTTGATTTCTTTCAAGGCCTGCTGTCCTTTCTCCATGTCCCTGCACGCGATGATGATCTTTGCCCCTAAACAGAGGAATAACAGATTTACAACAGCCTGGGAAATGAGTGTGTGAACTTACAGATAATATGTGTGCATGCATGAAAGGACAAGAGATACACAAGTAAGATGTGGGTGAAAGGGTGAAGAGCTTCCTCTCATGACTAAATAAGTACAGCACTGTAGGCTTAAGTGTTGTAATGTGGACAATAAGAAACATGACTAATATTGAATAAATAATTCAAGAAAAGACAAGACAAAATTGATGCACAAGCACAAACAGCAGTCAAATGTTTGAAGCAGCTACGTGCACGATCAACTGTTTTACTAATACTGTATGAAATATTTATATGGAGCAGCTCCAGAGGTTAGTTTCTATTAATACAGTCTGAGTTGTTGTAGTTCAGTGTAATAGAGCAGGTAAAAACAAACTCTAAATGCCAAAAGTCACATATTAAAGCCTGTAGAAATCTTCTTCCTATTTAAAGTCAAGCATCAAGTTCAAATGTTGTTTGAGTTCAGTCTAAATGTGTAACTCTGAGTATCTGTGTTTTATTTAGCTACAGTTACTTTGTCCTATGGAAGCTTTAAAATGCCAAAATTTAAGCAAATCAGTCAACTAAGTCATGTGGAATATAATACTTGTTCCTTATATTTTCTGTTTTTGTTTGCATTCGCAGTGTCAGAATTAAATGAAAAGCAAATGCAAAAGTAATTGTTTTATTTTTATTTTTTAAAAATTGCAATAGGACTTCTCCATAATAAATAAAAAAAGAAATACATCACACAGAGAAAACAAGGCCAGCTTTTATGGAGGTATTATTGTAGCAAAACTATTTGTAAATGTGTATGGAGAGTTGTGTGTCTGTATCTCAATCTGTGAGTCTGTAGTGAGATTTGTCAACGCGTACAAACATATTAATAGATGAAAAATCAAAGTATTTGGCTACAAGTGCTGGAAATACAGACAAATCACCAGTTACAAGTCAAGCGGGCCTCACAATCAGCTGTCTTTTTACACATGACTTTTGCTGCACTTCTGCCGTGAGCGATTCAAGTCTGTAACTTTATGGTTTCATTGCCCTGAGCTCAGGCTCGTTCAGTCTGGCTGCGTGCCACTCTGCTGCTCTGTACCTCAGTTGCTATGCCGCCTGCAAGCCATCAGGCGGCGCTATCCCCCAGAGTCTTTGAGGGCATGCAACATTGTCTGGTATGTGAACAGGTTAAAGTTGCTGAGTTTGCAGATTGCTGAGCAACAACTTTCAACTTCCACATGTATTTTCATGATGAGGCGTCTTATACAACTTTGAAATTGAAACTAAAGCTACCCTCTGTAGCTCAACACAACCTCTTATGCAGCCTTTGTATCAAAGGTCTTGCTGAAAAATGAAGCCTTCCATATTCTAAGAGAAATGAGCATTCAGCTGCTGTATGAACTGAAAACCTTTATGATTCGTTAAAAAACATGAAGATTTAACAGTATTTCAGCTTGTATTTGTGTCATCCTGACTTGATTTCGTCCGTATCCATAACGCCTAAAGTCATTTTTACAGTTTCATGGTGCTCGTTCTTCTCTGACCTGCTGTTATTATATTTCTAAACTAATCAAACACTCAACTCACTCGTGGATTCACCTTTTAAATGAGTTTTTACTGGGCTCATGTTGAAACTGTTTTGATTGAAGCCCACTTAAATACAGAAACAATACACTGAATCAATCTGTAAACACAGCACGTACTGTTTTCTTAACTAAGTACCATTTTCATTTCATTTGTAATATTGCACTATCATGTGGGGTATTACTTTCTATTTTCTTTTTCAATATTATTTATATTTTCAGTAACTCATATGTTACTGCTTTTCTACAAGATGCTGCATTTTTCACGTTATGCTTTCTGAGCAAAATCTGACAAAACGCTTGGTTGCTGCTGCTGCATGTGGAATGTTGTTTTAGACTTCCTGAAGGGCTTGGCGAAGTTGGCGGTCACGATCGCATTGTTGGACAGGTCCATCCAGAGCTGTGTGATATGATTACTCAGATGATAAACAACAGTTGTAGTATTCACGTGTGTCTGGCTACAACTAAACAAACACGCCACCATGCAGCATGCCAACAGCTTGCTGCTACCCAGCTCAAAATGTCTTTCTGCACAAATGCAAAGCTTTCAACCATAACAAAAGGATTTTTTTTAACCTGTACTCTCGAACATTTGCATGTTTTTTAAAAAATATATAAATTAATGTTCAGTTTATATAAACAACATTGCATTTTTTGTCCAAAAGCTACTGCCCCAGATTAAACACATGAAGAATACTGTTCTGTTCCAAGTCTGTTTTATTGGCCTACAATCCTCAATAATGACTTCATTCTTCTGGGACACATTTCAGCAGTTTCTGTCTCAGCTTGGTTCTCTATCTAAGACACACTCTACTGGCGCTGACGGCTGCCATGAAGACACATCCTTAATAAAAGATAACCTCTCACATGCAAACAGCTTAATTACTGAACAGCAGTGTGCAGTTTTAAGGGCAGCCAGACGTGTTGACACCGACAGTGAACAATGAATAAGTAAAAGGACGAGGATTAGCGAACAATAATAGATGTCTGCATGGAGGATACTAAGAGCTGAATGGGACAACAGGATGGATGGATTTTTCTGTTAAGTTACTGCCACTGACACTTTTGTTTTGCAAAATGTCTGCAAAAAAATATTGTCCAGTAATGTTTGTTTTTCTTTACACATTAGATGCACACAGAGAATAAAAAACACACATAACTGCATGTATTTTGTTAAATCTTCCATACGACACAGTAAGTAAAGCTTAATAAAACACACCTTTTTCATTCTCTGCTCTAATTTCTAATCATAAAGTTTGAAGAAAATGCAATTTCAGTTTTGCAGAGTTTCTGCAGAGCTTTGTGACGCTAAGTTAAGGGGGAATAAGTGAATAAACTTGCATTTAAACAGATGTATTTAAAATCCTCAGCAGGTATGTGTGCTTTTGGATTATTTAGTAAATAGAAGTAAAAGTTTTTGTTGTGTTTTTACATCCCTCCATGTGAGACAGGTGTTGTTTTGGAATCAGTACAGACATCCAGGTATTGTTTTGGCATCATATTCACAACCACATTCTTTAGGAACCTGCTCGTTCTCTGTATCTGGCTGATCCAAAAGTCAACTACAGGAAAACAACAGTTGATCATAACTCCACATGTGTATCACTAATAGTGCAAGTCATCATGACAAAGCAAAACTCAAGCAAACAAGTAAAATCAGCTTTACTAAAGGAGAAGAATCCAAACTACAGTCTGTGGGTTTAAGCCAGACCCACCTCTCTTTGCCAGGTCTTTGGCTGTTTCTTTGCCGATGCCAGTGTTGGCTCCAGTGATCAGCACAGTTTTGCCATCAAGCTTTTCAGCAGAGGACCAGGCACGCCGGAAGAAACTTGTAGGAAATTAAGAAACCTCTGTGAATGTCTCAACCAGCAACATGGGTGTGACAACACACAAGACACAACAAAACACCCAAAACAAGCAAATATGACAGAATACACTCATCTGTAGCAAAGAAAACAATTCTTAACATCGTTTTTTAGCCATTAACTTAATAATTTCAGTTATTATCTTTGAAAATTGGGGTTTAAAGATGTCACCTGAGCAGATCTACAGTAAAACTACAGAATTTGTTGAGACGTTTGAAGAATTTTTTTATGAATAGTTTCCTCACCTTAGCATTTTTCTTTATTACACCACTCGGGTCGACTGTAGTAACTCCTCAAAACCTGAAAAAAGTCTAAAGACAGACTTTTTACACCACAATAAACCCACAAATGTCTCTAAAGAAAAGTCTGAGGATTAAAAAGTGGCGAGCCGGAACTGCCAATGTTGTTCCAGAGGCTGAAATTTCAGCCAATCGGCGGCGACTCCGTTAGTTTTGTAGAGCGCTGATTGGTTAGATGTAAGTTAGAGCCCGCCCTTTGTGGGTAGTGTGCTCGAATGTGAATGCGGCCTGCGCCGGAGAGATGGGAAGTCCGGAGTTAGGCAAGATATGAGTAAAAGATGAGTAAAAGGAGTGACATCACTTTTACATATTTATTCGCTATTGCAAAATCTTTAATTCTTTAAATAATTTTTTTGCAGTTGCTCTTTCTTTAAAAATACAAAACAAAACAATAATAATATATTAGTGTTGTAGCAATAACAATGGCAGTTATGGTTTATATTTCACACTCATTTACGTGCTATTTTCTTATATTAATTTAAATTTTAGCTCTAATCTGTTTCAGTGATAGTTGTGTGTCTGTCTAAAGGACAGCATTTCCTTTAAAGAAAAATATACTGTTTCTAGCTCTTTGGTAAAGTCGCAGCCAATTACTGATGTACAAGGTTCAGTCAAAAATAAATATACTGTGATCAGTGATGGTTCCACTTGCATAAACCTCATGTCTTTATTGAACAGTCACACCTGGTAATGACACCAAAGTAAATAATAATAGTGATAAAAAAGATACAATACAGCTTTTAACTTAAAATTGATCTGAGGCTCAGTATAAGATGTAGGTTCAAAGTGAAGGCCTTAACCTTTACCTTTTTGCCTGGTTGACAGCTGGTAAATATTCAAAAATGATCATTAACTTTTACAGTAGACTGCCAGTGCAACTATTCTTTGCAGTATGCCTATAGCTAATAGTCAAGTATGATCAAATTAACTAACATTGTTATTAAATTACTGGATAAAGATGAAAAAAGAAAGCAGAAAATTTGTAAAATTGGTTGGGTGAATCATTCATTAAAATCTTGATTATATGTTGTTGTTGTTGTTGTTTTTTTTATTATTACCAAAATAAAACAATGACGCCTCTCTTTTCTATCCTTTAGTCCATCTGTAACATCTACTTAATGTTATTTTTTAAGCATCAGTTATATGTATTACTACATATTTTTAAACAAACAATCCAGTACACACATACATGATGTATAGCATCCGATTTATTATGAATGATTACTGCAATGAATGGCATTAAATCCTAGTTGTAACTTTGAAAACAAACAACTCTCAACAGGATCATTTCATCACCCCACAGTACTGCATCTCTTTCTCCAGCAGGTGGCGTCCCACAACCATTTTCCACTTTGGATCAGCTGAGGGAGCCTGTTTGACTTTGACACCAGCCCTCCAGTACTCTATTATGTCTATAGACAGATTAACAGGTTGGTATTTGGGTAAATCTTGTCCTTGGCTGAGATCTCGCTCTGCTGGCAAATAATTTGCAGGGACCCTAATTATCCATTGTGCATTTCCAAAAGTTCACCATGAATGGCTCATTCATACATTAGAGATTGCAGCAACACAGTGGACTTAAACCGTACACAGAATGTCACTAGAACAGGAAAGACCGCGCCGGTCATCAGCTGATTGTGCGTAAGCAAACATTTCCTTCCCTTTTTCCCTGCAAGATCAGTCAGCAAAGGAGTGAATGAGTGCGTCGTGTGTGCATGTGAGGCGTGCACTTGCATGTTGTGCGGACATAATTCTGTTTAAACACACAAATTGTGGGCTGCTTTGAGAATAAAAAGCAAACTCTTATAATGTAAAATGTTAAATTATAGAAGGAAAGTGTTTAGTTTTGGGTTAGAGTAAAGGTAGCGGTTATATAAATGAATAAGAATCTACTTTTTGTGTATTTTTAATGTAAGAAAAGACACAGAGAGTCGTGCATTCATGTGAATTGGATCCACGTTGATTAGAAAACCCTCAGGAGTCCAGCAGTCAGGAGTCAGTGTGCACTCAACATGACTGTTATCCCTGCAGCCCTCCACCGCCCCTCTTTAACATCCTTTTCCATGTTTATTTAAGCAACAAGTGAAGACAAGTGTGTCAGGAAGTGGTTGTAAGTGGCTGTTGATTAATTTTGCATGTACTGTACGACAACCTGACACTGTTTGCAAGTAAATCGCCTCGATATGTGACAGGTAAACAAATGAAAACCATGTCATCATTCAAGTGTGAAATACACATCAGTCCAGGGTATTTCATGATCCTCATTATTTATTCATTTGAAAACTGCACATGCTTATCATTTTCTGGATGTTTTTCTTCCTTGTGTTTGCTGTTGTTGTTGACAGGCTGCCGTTTCATCACTAGACACAACAGTTTTTCCTGGACTTTTTACTGGCGCCGCAATAGCAGCTTCCCAGAAGCCAAAGACAATGGAGAGGCAGGAGGATGCTCTGAATAAACTATGAGAACAATCCATTAGCTATAATGGGACTATTAACTTTACTTTGGCAGATGGAGGGCAAAAAGATGCAGGTTTTTATATTTATGCCCAGGGCAAAAAAAAAAAAAGAGACATAAATAAACAAATGTGAACCAAAGGAGAATATCTTGTATTGATGAGGCTGAGCAACAATTCTAGTAAGACTTGACCTAAAAATAACAAACTTGCTGCTAATACAAGATGATTTATACTTCAATATACTTCACCTTTTACTTTGTGATATCAAAATAAAGCTACAGTGGGCTTTAAGCTCTGCTTGGATCAATACTTGTATTCGTTTTTGCACAGAAACATTAAGAAATGTGTTTCTGTGAGAAACTTTTTCTTCAGTTTCATGCTGTTTCTGCAGCATGACACACATGAGTATAATATTTTGATATTTGGGAGTGTGTGCTCAAATTATTCATCTTGTGGGGGCATAAATCAGTTAATACAGTCACATTGTGGGGACCTAACCCTCTTTTGGGGACAAAAAGCAAGTTCCTGTAATGTCAATCTAGTCTTTTAAGGTAAAGCGTTGCATTATAATTGTATTAAGGTTTGGGTTAGTTATAGATGTGATTATAGTCAGAAGAAAAAAATGCATGAAAGCAAAAAAAATCATCCACCCACACAGTCTCACTCCCCTTCTCTTTTTGCAATCTATTTCCCATAGAGCATAATTTCATGAAAACAACTATTTCTTAATCCCTGAGAAAGGATGGTCTTCCAGTATATCGTACAACAAAGTTACAAAACAATTCTTGTTAAATAAACTCCTACAATTTTCTCTAAAGCCATACATGTTCAAACTGAATATGGATTCTGACAAAAAAATAATGATACAGAAAATCTCACTCTGCAAGTTAACAGATTGCTCCTTAAGATTTGTCCTATATGAAACCCTGGAGGTATAATTCAATGTTTTTAAGGATGTCATCAGTATGCTGCAGCTTCTAGGTGGAAGTTCTCAGGAAGGGCGCTGACTGGTTATTTTGCTCATTATATGTGTTCTAGCGAAATGAAAAAAACAAGGTTTACAAGGAAAAAAGCTTTGATTTTCACTGGAGGATAAGTCTCAGTTTAGATTTGAGCAAGAGTTAGGATTGGACAGGTAGTAGATGCGATAATTCTCCAGGAAATAGGTGTGTGTGTGTAATATAGCAAGAGAGGAAAAAAAACAGGAAAATTAACAAATAAGGGAGATTTTTTTAAAAAAAATTTATATGACCTCAGTTATATGTACATTTAGATTCACAGCCTCATAGCATCATACATGTCCCGCCTCAGTCCCTCTATGTCAAGAATCTGTATAAATTCATAATGAATACGTCCAAAGCTACATGATCCAGGATGTGAGGTCAATAAATCCAGAAATACTCGTCTTAAATTCTGATTTACAGTGAGCGCTGCTTGGAAAATTTCCACCTCAGACAGATTAACGTGAACACACTGTTCTAGTGTCAGAATTTGCAGACATTAGTCAAAACAGTGACGGTTAAACATCCACTTAAATGGTAAGCAGTTGTCATTTTTGAGTGGAAGAGGACTGTTTTAACAATTAGATGAACTGCTTGAGAAAATGAGAAAGAGAATGAGGCAGAAGGTTAACCAGTCCACTATAAACAGTCTAAACATAATGATTTTGAACTGTGGTAAATACTTATAAAAAAAAAAAAAAGGACAATGACTCATTTTTGTGTCCTTGAAAACAGATCAGAGGCAAAGCTGGCAGAGCCACAGCCCTAATGTTTACATTATAACAATATCTTTCAAAGGTCACATCCCACTGCCTCCCCTGACACATGCATGCAGGCGGCCAGCAGTCTGGTTTGAACGCTGGGCTCTCATCTCCAAAACCTCAATCTGTCTGAAGCTGTGGGAGACTGATAACCATCTCCAAGTGTCCCCATCCTCCTGCCTCCACCTTTACTGTACAGACAAACCTTCACCGGTTCATCTCTCGCTCACATTCTGTTTAGTCTGGCTCTTTTTTTGTCTTCTTTTTGTCTGCCTCCCCCCTCATCGAGCCTCTGTATTTGGTTTCTCACCCTCCTCGCCTCCCTCACCTCTTTGACTGGTTACATAACACATAAACGGTGCCATTCATTTTCTCAAACCGTTCCTCTTTACTGATCCAATCTCCGACCTGTAATGGCTTTTTCGACTGCTGCAACCATTTCCCAGAGATACCAATCTATACCTTCATAATTACGGCCCCTTTTTTTTTTTTTTAACAACGGGCCTTGTTATATAGCAGATGACAGAACCCCTTCATCTCACCATCGTGCTGTTGACTGAAACACACTGCAGCATTTAGCTCTGCTGCGCCAGCCTCCTTCATAATTGGGCTCGAGCATTTTTTCTCACCGCTCTTTGTTTTCTCTGGAGAAATCAAAACTGCAAGGTCGTTCAGAGGTTGTTCTGGGGTTATTAGTGTTTTGAGGGATAGGAAGTGTTTCCTCCCTCGTTTATCTAAACGATGCAACGTGTTTGTGAGGGTTTGGTTACACAGCAGCTCCTCCTAATGGGCCCAAATGTCGGTGTTTTTGGTATTAATGAACAGGTTGTGCTTGGACCCATATGCAGCGAGCTAAATCTGTCAGTCTCACACTGA